TTCTGTTTACCTTGTTTGTTGTCAAAACCCAGGGCTTTTTTTGGAGCAGGAACTCCTTTGCATGTTAGGCCACACACCCCGAATGTAGCCAATCCGGATGAGTTTCTGCTGGTGGGTGAGCCCTATTATGCTAATGAGTTCCTGCTGGGCGTGGCCAACTCAGGAGCCAGCCAGAACTCCGTTCCTGTGTGTTCCTGCCCAAAAATATCCCTGACTGTGAGTCAGTTGTGACTCCAGGGCATATTGTTCTCCTTCAGACATTAGCCACATGCAGGGCTTTTTTTGTAGAAAAAGCCCAGCAGGAACTCATTAGCATAACAGGCCACACCCAACAGCAGGAACTCATTAGCATAGTAGACCACACCCTGACAGCACAGCACATTATCATATTAGGCCACACCCCCATGCCACCAGAAGTGTGGTCATCCAGCCACACCCACCTTTTGCTTCTTATTCTGTTTACCTTGTTTGTTGTCAAAACCCTGGGCTTTTTTTGTAGCAGGAACCCTTTGTATGTTAGACCATACACCCCAAATGTAGCCAATCCTAATGAGTTTCTGCTGTTGGGTGTGCCCTATTATGCTAATGAGTTCCTGCTGGGCGTGTCCAACTCAGGAGCCAGCCGGAACTCCGTTCCTGTGCGTTCCTGCCCAAAAATAGCCCTGGCCACATGGAAGCACCTTGTTCACACTTCATTTTCGCTTCCACATAGAATCTCATGTCATAAAACAAGCTGATGGGTTCAGTATTATGGACCCAAATCATAGGCAGCTTAGCCTGATTCTGATGATCCAGTGGTCTCTTTCCGTACCTAAGCTTACCTCCTTTTAAATTGGCACTTGGCATGATACTGTCTGGTTTTTCACCACATTATGTCCCTTTCTTCAGATACTTCTCTCTACTGCTGTGAAGACTCCAATCATGGCTGAGAAAATGACTTTCATCCACTTTGGTAAAAGAAATGCCTGGCCTGATGGACTTTGACAATGTCAATTACTGATTTAGGATCTGATAAATCTTTATCTTTTTTAGGTATTAAAATTATATTCGCATTCTTCCAAGACTTGGGAAGTTGCCCTGAAGCCAGAATTTTTTAGACCATGGTTTTTATATTTGTATTTTAACAAATTGTTTATATTGTTTTTTTTATGGTGTTACTGATTTGCTGGCTTGGTGGCGTGACAAATACAGAAGGATGCGTGGATGAGACACTCAGCATCACGCTCCGTTTTGATTGGTCTTATCATCCAATAGACAGTAAGACTCTGAATCCTTGTACTCAAACTTCTTTTTAAACTTTTTGTGTCTCTCTGCCTTTTAAGCCTTCCTTATACACCCTTTGAAAACTATAAAACCTACTTTCAAACCCCACAATAGCAGTAGAAAAGGGCTATTTTTGGGCAGGAACGCACAGGAACAGAGTTCCGGCTGGCTTCAGAGTTGGCCATGCCCACTACAGCCAGAACCTCTGGCTACAGAGGGAAGGCCTGGAGAGCGACCCTCCGGTGACTCTGAGATGGGTGGGGCAGGGGGGGCCTGGAAGGATCAGGGAGGCATTTAAATGCCTCCCCGTGCCTTCCCTGGCCTGTCCAAGGGCCAGCTTGCCCAGGCTCCCCGCAGCCGGGGGGCGCCTGGGCAAGCCAAGGGAAGTCATAGAGATGTGGCCTAATATGCTAATGAGCTGCATTGTCAGGAGTGTGGCCCAATATGCTAATAATTCTGCTGTTGGGTGTGGCCTATTATGCTAATGAGTTCCTGCTGGGCTTTTTCTACAAAAAAAGCCCTGCTCATTTCTACTGCTACAGACTAACATGGCTACCCACCTTGATCAAACCCCACAATATCATCCTTATTACACCCCAAATGCAATCCAGTTATTCACCACATTAGGAGGGCTTGCTGCAGCCACAGTCTAAGCAGTGGCATCTCATCTCATCTTTTTAGGTATTTTCATTATACATGGAGTTTGGAAACAGGTTGCTAATATGGCAACAAATGGATAATAGTTGATTCAGTCAAAACTGTGAATGTTTCACCTGTGATTCATCGTTCACATCACATTTCACATTTTCCATTGAGATTTGATTCTGATGAGAAATAAAATAATAATGAATATGGGGGAAGGGAACCCCTCCAGGCCTAAGAAGCTCATAAAATACAAACAAGCCATAAACAGTGGTTTCTGTCCTATTACTCCATTTTAAATGTTGGAATATGCAAGGTCTATCATGCATAGATAAAGAAGACAGGAACATCCTACAGGGGGCAGCAGAGGGGACAACTTGTTAGCATAGTGAGATTAGGGATTTCCTGCTATTTTCAAATAGTCTCCTTCCTGTCTCCTGATTGGCCTAACTGGGGTTTTTTCCTGCTCCTGCTGAGAACTGTTGGTTACTGACTCTCTCCTGGCTAGTTATACAGTTAAACTTCTCTGTCTCTCTCCTCTTTCTTACAATTTTTGTTCTCTTCTTCATAAACCAACTCTATTCTTTAAAGAGCTTGTGCTCCCCTTTACTGCATATCTACACTCTGCCAATACTGAAGCCTTCCTCCAGTCTAAGGAGACTTCTTCCAGCTTCAGTGGCTCTTCTGTTGGAAGGAAGGTTCCTTGGGTTGGAGGAACCATGACTCAGTGGCAGAGCATATCCTTGGCATACAGACTATCCCAGGTTCAGTTCTCAACCTCTCCAGTTGAAAGGATCAGGTAGTAAGTGATGTCAAATACCTGAGACCCTGGAGAACAGCTGCCAGCCATGCTAGACAATATTGACTGTTAAGTTGCTCGCTTAACAAAAAAGTTGGAGAGTGATTCAGCAAGAAGACAACTTTATTCTTCAACTCGGACACAACTCCAACACGGATCAACATCTGATAGCCAGAACATAACAGTTCAGCTTTTACATTGCAGTAGTCCTGCTTTTAAACTCTCCTGGCTAATGTAGCCACACCCACTGTACAAATACCAACCAATACGGTTGTTCAGATAAGGACCAATCACGGACATTCCCACTCAGGGAGCATGCTGTAAAGTGATTGGCTAGGTGCTTCCTAGGCTAGCAATACAATTGGATGAATTTGGATCCTAGCCCAGAACGAAGCTTAACATATCTTTTCAATCAGATGCTTCACAACACATAATGCATTCAATGGCAGCTTATGAATACATTGCAATTCTTCCCCCCTAAGTAAAAACAATCATGTACACTCGTAATCACTTAGGTAGGTCGGTGCTCGGCGCACCCGCTGAGACCTATGTAGCTGTGTAGGCTCAGGACACAACTCAGCTTGGGGGACTCC